CACGCCACTCCGCCAACCGCCAGGATGCCCGGCATCAGAACATTCCAGGCATTCCCGTGATTAGCAGATAGCAGGTTGATTGACATGTCGGACCCCGCGAACACTGGGTACTGGTAGGTACAACACAACCATCTACTAGCCTAACACATAACACACAGCTGTCTGTGCGGGTCGCTACAATATTATTTATTATTATAAGCCCTTAACCAACAATGCAGTTCAAGAAATAGAGTTAAGAAAATATTTACTAAATAAACTATAAAGTAAAACATTAAATTAAAAGTAACAATAAAATAACAAGGATATATACAGGGGGTAACTGTACCGAGTCAATGTGCTGGGGTACAGGTTAGTAGAGGTAATTTGTACATGTAGGTAGGGGTAAAGTGACTACATTTTACATTACATTTTAGTCATTTAGCAGACGCTCTTATCCAGAGCGACTTACAGGAGCAATTAGGGTTAAGTGCCTTGCTCAAGGGCACATTTACGTCATTTAGCAGACGCTCTTAAACAGAGCGACTCACAAATTGGTGCATTCACCCTATAAGCAGTGGGATAACCACTTTACAAATTTTTTTTGGGGGGGGGGGGGGTAGAAGGATTACTTTATCCTATCCCAGGTATTCCTTAAAGAGGTGGGGTTTCAAATGTCTCCGGAAGGTGGTGAGTGACTCCGCTGTCCTGGCGTCGTGAGGGAGCTTGTTCCACCATTGGGGTGCCAGAGCAGCGAACAGTTTTGACTGGGCTGAGCGGGAACTATGCTTCCGCAGAGGAAGGGGAGCCAGCAGGCCAGAGGTGGATGAACGCAATGCCCTCGTTTGGGTGTAGGGACTGATCAAAGCCCGAAGGTACAGAGGTGCCGTTCCCCTCACTGCTCCATAGGCAAGCACCATGGTCTTGTAGCGGATGCGAGCTTCAACTGGAAGCCAGTGGAGTGTGTGGAGGAGGGGGGTGACGTGAGAGAACTTGGGAAGGTTGAACACCAGACGGGCTGCGGCATTCTGGATGAGTTGTAGGGGTTTAATGGCACAGGCAGGGAGGCCAGCCAACAGCGAGTTGCAGTAGTCCAGACGGGAGATGACAAGTGCCTGGATTAGGACCTGTGCCGCTTCCTGTGTAAGGCAGGGTCGTACTCTCCGAATGTTGTAGAGCATGAACCTGCAGGAGCGGGTCACCGCCTTGATGTTAGCGGAGAACGACAGGGTGTTGTCCAGGGTCACGCCAAGGCTCTTCGCACTCTGGGAGGAGGACACAACGGAGTTGTCAACCGTGATGGCGAGATCATGGAACGGGCAGTCCTTCCCCGGGAGGAAGAGCAGCTCCGTCTTGCCAGGGTTCAGCTTTAGGTGGTGATCCGTCATCCATACTGATATGTCTGCCAGACATGCAGAGATGCGATTCGCCACCTGGTTATCAGAAGGGGGAAAGGAGAAGATTAGTTGTGTATCGTCAGCGTAGCAATGATAGGAGAGGCCATGTGAGGATATGACAGAGCCAAGTGACTTGGTGTATAGGGAGAAAAGGAGAGGGCCTAGAACTGAGCCCTGGGGGACACCAGTGGTGAGAGCACGTGGTGCGGAGACAGCTTCTCGCCACGCCACTTGGTAGGAGCGACCGGTCAGGTAGGACGCAATCCAGGAGTGAGCCGCGCCGGAGATGCCCAGCTCGGAGAGGGTGGAGAGGAGGATCTGATGGTTCACAGTATCAAAGGCAGCAGACAGGTCTAGAAGGACAAGAGCAGAGGAGAGAGAGTTAGCTTTAGCAGTGCGGAGAGCCTCCGTGACACAGAGAAGAGCAGTCTCAGTTGAATGACCAGTCCTGAAACCTGACTGGTTTGGATCAAGAAGGTCATTCTGAGAGAGATAGCAAGAGAGTTGGCTAAAGACGGCACGCTCAATAGTTTTGGAAAGAAAAGAAAGAAGGGATACTGGTCTGTAGTTGTTGACATCAGTGGGATCGAGTGTTGGTTTTTTGAGAAGGGGAGCAACTCTCGCTCTCTTGAAGACGGAAGGGACATGGCCAGCGGTCAAGGATGAGTTGATCAGCGAGGTGAGGTAGGGGAGAAGGTCACCGGAGATGGTCTGGAGAAGAGAGGAGGGGATGGGGTCAAGCGGGCAGGTTGTTGGGCGGCCTGCAGTCACAAGTCGCAGGATTTTATCTGGAGAGAGAGGGGAGAAAGAAGTCAAAGCATAGGGTAGGGCAGTGTGAGTAGGACCAGCAGTGTCATTAGACTTAACAAACGAGGATCGGATGTCGTCAACCTTCTTTTCAAAGTGGTTGACGAAGTCATCCACAGAGAGAGAGGAGGGGGGGGGGGGGGGGGGGGGGGGGAGGATTCAGCAGTGAGGAAAATGTGGCAAATAGCTTCCTAGGGTTAGAGGCAGATGCTTGGAATTTAGAGTGGTAGAAAGTGGCCTTAGCAGCAGAAACAGATGAAGAAAATGTAGAGAGGAGGGAGTGAAAAGATGCCAGGTCGGCAGGGAGTTTAGTTTTCTTCCATTTCCGCTCCGCTGCCTGGAGCTCTGTTCTGTGAGCTCGTAATGAGTCATCAAGCCACGGAGCTGGAGGGGAGGACCGAGCCGGCCGGGAGGATAGGGGACACAGAGAGTCAAAGGATGCAGAAAGGGAGGAGAGGAGGGTTGAGGAGGCAGAATCAGGAGATTGGAGGGAGAAGGATTGAGCAGAGGGAAGAGATGATAGGATGGAAGAGGAGAGAGTAGTGGGAGAGAGAGAGCGAAGGTTGCGGCGGCGCATTACCATCTGTGTAGGGGCAGAGTGAGTAGTGTGGGAGGAGAGCGAGAGAGAAAAGGAAACAAAGTAGTGGTCGGAGACATGGAGGGGAGTTGCAGTGAGATTAGTAGAAGAGCAGCATCTAGTAAAGATGAGGTCAAGCGTATTGCCTGCCTTGTGAGTAGGGGGGGACGGTGAGAGGGTGAGGTCAAAAGAGGAGAGGAGTGGAAAGGAGGAGGCAGAGAGAAATGAGTCAAATGTGGACATAGGGAGGTTGAAATCCCCCAAAACTGTGTGGGGTGAGCCATCCTCAGGAAAGGAACTTATCAAGGCGTCAAGCTCATTGATGAACTCTCCAAGGGAACCTGGAGGGTGATAGATGACAAGGATATTAAGCTTAAATGGGCTAGTGACTGTGACAGCATGGAATTCAAATGAGGAGATAGACAGATGGGTTAGGGGAAAAATTGAGAATGTCCACTTGGGAGAGATGAGGATTCCTGTGCCACCACCCCTCTGACCAGATGCTCTCGGGGTATGCGAGAACACATGGTCAGACGAGGAGAGAGCAGTAGGAGTAGCAGTGTTTTCAGTGGTAATCCATGTTTCCGTCAGCGCCAGGAAGTCGAGGGACTGGAGATTAGCATAGGCTGGGATGAAGTCAGCTTTGTTGGCAGCAGAACGGCAGTTCCAGAGGCTGCCTGAGACCTGGAACTCCAGGTGTGGGGTGCGTGCAGGGACCACCAGGTTAGAGAGGCAGCAGCCACGCGGTGTGGGGCGTTTGTGTAGCCTGTGCAGAGAGGAGAGAACAGGGATAGGCAGAGGCATAGTTGACAGGCTGTAGCAAATGGCTACAATAATGCAGAGGAGATCGGAATGAAATGAACTAAACATCTGGGAGAGTAGAGAGCAGGGCCTCCCTCACCAAAAACTTCTACCTCAGAAACTATAATTGTTTCACTGAACCACCCGAACAAAAACTCTACCAACTTCCACCTTTAGAAATCAGAATTGTTGTGAACCACAGCGGTTCAATGTTTAAAGGAATAGACTCAACCCACTTTATTCAGCTAGCTAACTATGACACCATAGCTAACTAGCATGCTAGCATCCAATAACACACAGTTTAGCACCAACACTTGGTCACAACAAACCACCAATAGTGTGTTAACACACTAAGCAGATAATTCGGCTATGTAGCACAACTATATTGTATTTAGCTACTACAGTACAGTTAGCTGGTCATATTGGCTAGCTAGCAATGGCCACTGTGTTGACCTTGTTTGAAGAACGGCTAGCTAGCTAACTAGCTTCGTGCAACCCCCGGCACCACCGAAAAACAATGCCAACCTACAGTAACTACCCACAACAGCCCACAATGCCTAGCTATGACGCCATAGCTAACTAGCATGCTAGCATCCAATAACACACAGTTTAGCACCAATACTTGGTTACAACAAACTACCAAGAGTGTGTTAACACACTAAACAGATAATTCATGTCCGTGTCTAGTTCCTTTCATAACGCAGCAAAAATTAAACGTTGGCTAGCTAGCACATTAACACTGGAAACAACTCTCCACCGTTGCACTAAACAGATAATTACCAATAAACGTTACCAGTAGCTACCCGCTAGCTAGCTAGCATACCAAGAGTGTGTTAACACACTAAACAGATAATTCATGTCCGTGTCTAGTTCCTTTCATAACGCAGCAAAGATTAAACGTTGGCTAGCTAGCACATTAACACTGGAAACAACTCTCCACCGTTGCACTAAACAGATAATTACCAATAAACGTTACCAGTAGCTACCCGCTAGCTAGCTAGCTAGCCTCGTGCTTCGCCGGGCTCCGCCGTAAACAATACAATACTTACCTACAATAATTGCCTACGGAAACCTACAATAAACCTACAAGAAACCTACAATAACTACCTAAATAACTACGTAAATAAACTACCTACCTACGATCTAAATACATGGTTTAAGCTTTACTCAACACCATATGAGAAGCCAGGCTTACCTCCTGCTAGAGAAAAACACAACCTCTCCCGACGAAGCACGACCAGCTCTATGCATAGTCATGATCAAGGGCTAGATTCCGACTGCTACAACATGTATGGTTGTCCATGGTTTGCAATGAATTAATGACTGGTAAAAATACAATAGTATACAAAAGAAGTACTAGTTATCTGTAATGTCACATGTTTATACAGCAAATCTGTCTGCAAAATATTATTTTTCAATTTCTCCTTTTCTTCCCCTTCTAGACCAAAGCCTTCACCACAGCTGCCTTACAGCACCACCTCCAGGCTCCCTAACACTGCACTCTGGATCCCTGTTGTCACCATGCTAGCCCGTGGGATCACTGCTCACCGCATCAGCAAGACCATCACCTTGTACCTGAATGAGACGGCCTCACCTAAACCCTCCCCTGGTCATCTGTCTGCCCTGAACGATGCAGCCAGCACCTCTCCATCCCCAGCCCTTACCCCTGCCCCAACCAAGCCCCTGCTGCTGATGCTGCCCTGGTTGGGGTCGCGACCTCAGGCTGTGGCCAAGTACTGTGAGATCTATTTCCGTACAGGCTTCGATGTGCTCATAGTGGAGAGTGAGGTAAGGAAGGGGCAACGTCATGGGTGGGAAATATGTAACAATTTAAACATTCTGTTTAGAATGCTCCTCTCTATGGTCTCCTTTCTCTCTAAAATACCTCTCCTATCCCCTCTCCTCTACCCTAGGTGAGTCAGTTCCTCTGGCCTCGCTGGGGCCTGGATTACGGGGCGAGGGTACTAGATGTCCTGCAGAGTGACCGTTTTGTGACACGCCCCCTGCTCGTGCACGCCTTCTCCATAGGAGGGTACACCTTCACCCAGCTGCTGGTGCATGTGTCCCGCGACACACAGAAGTACTACGGCTTCACTCACAGGATCAGAGGCCACATATATGACAGCCTAGTGCTGGGCTCACTGGAGAGGATGGCTACAGGTGAGTCTGGGGGACAGGGGTTACCGTTAGAGGATACCGACCAGGTGTAACACATCTGACAGCCTAGTACTGTCTAGTACAGCCTGGTTAGAGGTTATAAAGCTAACCAAAGAGCTGACGTTGTCCTTTATCATCAGGCCATTTATACTGAACAAAAATATAAACGCAACAATTTCAATGATTTTACAGTTCATATAAGGAAATTCATTAGGACCTCCGAATGAGTTTTCCCCCCAAAAAGGGCTTTATTACAGACAGAAATACTCCTAAGTTTCATCAACTGTCCGGGTGGCTTGTCTGAAGATCCCGCAGGTATGGAAGCCGAATGTGGAGGTCCTGGGCTGGCGTGGTTACGTGTGGTCTGCGGTTGTGAGGCCGGTTGGACATACTGACACATTTTCTAAAACGACGGAGGTGGCTTATGGCAACAGCTCTTGTGGACATTCCTGCAGTCAGCATGCCCATTTGCGCGCTCCCTCAACTTGAGACATATGTGGCATTGTGTTGTGACAAAACTGCACATTTTAGAGTGGCCTTTAATTGTCCCCAGCACAAGGTGCACCTGTGTAATGATCATGCTATTTAATCAGCTTTTTGATATGCCACACCTGTCAGGTGGATGGATTATCTTGGCAAATGAGAAATGTTCACTAACAGGGTTTATAAACAAATTTGTGCACAATTTGAGAGAAATAAGCTTTTTGTGCGTATAGAAAAATTCTGGGGTCTTTTATTTCAGGTCATGAAACATGGGACATGTTGCGTTTATATTTTTGTTCAGTATACATTTTGTAATTGATTATCTTCTCAGGTCTAGGTAAGAACCTGTTCCCCCGGCTGGAGAGCCTGGTGAAACGGGCCAGTATGCTCTACTTCAGAGCCTTCAAACACCACACAGTCGACTACTTCAACACCGGCATCGATGTCTTCTGGAACAACCCTGTCACCGCACCCGCGCTCGTCTTCTTTTGCCAGAACGACGCACTGTGCGACCCGGAAGGCATGGAGGAGATCATCGCCTACTGGAGGAAACGAGGGATGGAGGTGACAGACAGGAAATGGGAGGAGTCAACACATGCAGGCCACCTGAGACGACACCCCCAGGAGTACCTGTCCACCTTAGAGACATTCCTAAAGAGTCTCGGTATGGTCCCTCTCAAGGCCAAGATGTGACCCTAGGCAGGACCCACACAGCTGTGGTCCGGTCCAGAAACAATTCCTAACCCTATCCACTGCCCCTTAGGCCTTCAGCATGGCCCCCAGCCAGGCCAAGTGACAACAGGGCACAGCTGTGGTCCGGTCCAGAAATAGCCCCTAGCCCCTACACCCCTAAGCACTCAGGCTCCCCTCAAGACCAAGATGTGACTGCAGGACGTGACAGTTTGCACTTCACTTACCTACAAATTCCAAGTTTGAGCACTGTAGGTATAGTGGGGACTTGTTGTATACACTTTTACATATTCTTGAAGAATGTTCAATTAACTCTTAAAAGGCGACCTAACAGTTTTTTATTATAATAAATAATGAGGTACTTGTTTAGTAGACTTTTGGCAAAAGGAGTCAATGTTTAGATGTTTCTGAATCGTAATGTCATGTGAAATACCCTCTGCACTGTGAATGCATTACGTAGGTTACGTAGAGTTCTGAATACCTCAACAGCACCATTCTATGGTGACAATCTCTAATAGTGTCCACCTCATTTTCAAACACTTAAAACACGGAAGCCAAACGCGGATAAAACTTCCTCCGCTCTCGTACATTATCATAATTCATATGAGCACCACTAGAAATCCCTGCATTAGCATGTTTCTGTTAGCTGATAAATCCTGAAAAAATACACCATATTGCTGGCCTGCTAATGTGCCTGGAACTTGTAGGCTAAACATTCAAGAAAAAAAACATAATTGATCCAAAATGGTCGCCCAATCAGGCATGCTAGATGCAATCATTTCGAAATGAATATGCATTCAAAACGCCAGGCTCTTGAGCGGTTATTGAAATGATAGGCTTTTTACTGCAGTTTACAGCCTAGACTAGAGTTTTGTACTCACTTAAACAATAACATTCTTCATGACATTGTGTTGTTGTAGTAGGCTACATTTCTTGTCATTTCTTACATAATTAATTTTACCAACACAAAAAGATCCCGTGTCGAGCGAACAAATGATCTGTTGGCATTGATAAAATTGTACTGAAACTTCCTGTTTCCATCACAGCTGTCATAAAAATAGTTTTAATACAGTATGACTTTACTCGCATAAAAACTGTGGATGGAAACGTGGTTTATGAAGTTTTCCAAACATGATTAATCTCCTGTCTATGTAGAAACGTAATTTATATTTTGCATATAATCTACCCACCGTTATTTATTAACCAATCAAGTAGCAGTCTTTATATTTATTTTCACCGTCATCCTGCATTACCTCGGACCCCAGGTTGAATACCCCTGTTCTAGGACCTCCTAAATCTACAGGTTTATAATACTCTGTCATTATCATCCCTGTGTGTATTCTGTGTACATCACGGTATTAAAGACGTTGAAGTGAAGGTCCGATTGTCTTTGCCGTTCTTTCAAAATAAATAATGTTTTGTTAAGACATACTGCAACACTTCAATGCAATGTTTTCCAACAGAAGTGCCATTTTACTGTAACTGGATAAAGACATGAATTTAGATTAATTTGTCAATGTTACCATTAGTTGATTTTCTAATATTTACACTGGAAAGGATGCCGAGTTGACAATGTACTATGGACAAGATCTTTACATGATTTGCTTCCAAGATTTAGCCAATTCTGTCAATTTGTTTTAGCCAAACCTAAAATAAAAATGTCATGATCCGCCAGTACTGTTGGTCCACACTACTTGTATTAGAGCTATTGTGATGCATTCTATTTTTGGAAAACATTAAAATAACAAATGTTGGATTTTGTGGGACTCTGGTTGGGGAAAACGTGTGCTTGTTTCGAGAGATGTTGCAAAACAGGACTGGCGGTAGAACGAATCAGTTGGATGGGTGTATGATTTCCATAGGCGGGCACGTTTTTTCACGGGCTTGCGCGTTGACACTTTTAAATGTGTGTAATTGTAAAGACCATAGGCAGCTGACGACAAACATAAGGAATAAGAAGACTTGCTGGTGTCGATGCAAGATCTGCCGAATCTGGCTGACCGTCGGCAGATTCGGTCGGCAGTCAGATCTTGCATCGACACGGGAATCACCGATGACATCTCCTTACAATTGCAAGATGGCTGCGTCGTTGAGAAAACGTGTGTTTACCATTTGAAACTAGCTAGCTACTCGCAGTTACCATGCTTTCATACATTTATCAAAATAATATAAAAACTATCTATGTGTTGGAAATTAAGATTATTATTTTGGATAGTTTAGAATTCGCTGGGGAGACAATACTTTTGAAAGTGTCGGAAAGAAAGTAGCCAGCTAGCTTGTCAGTGTGCTCCATTGCCATTGGTTGACTGGCTAAAAAAAAGCAACAGTGATCAGAAGAAACTAGCTAAAGATTTTAGCACATAATAAGCAATGACATTTTTTACATTTTTTTACATTTTTAGTCATTTAGCAGACGCTCTTATCCAGAGCAACTTACAGTTAGTGAATACATATATATATTTTTTTATACTGGCCCCCCGTGGGAATCGAACCCACAACCCTGGCGTTGCAAACACCATGCTCTATAAACTGAGCTACATCCCTGCCGGCCATTCCCTCCCCTACCCTGGACGACGCTGGGCCAATTGTGCGCCGCCCATGAGTCTCCCGGTCGCGGCCGGCTGCGACAGAGCCTGGATTCGAACCAGGATCTCTAGTGGCACAGTTAGCACTGCGATGCAGTGCCTTAGACCACTGCGCCACTCAGGAGTGAATGACCATGTCAGCCCTTACAATATTCGTCCGGAGTTTGCCAGTAGATGCATCTAACGACCGCCTGGAGGAGATATTCTCTGAGATTGGACCTGTGAAACACTGCTTTGTTGTCAAGGAAAAAGGTGAGACCGCTACTAGTTAGCTAGCTTGTTAACTTCATTTACATAACATTTTAGTCATTTAGCAGACGCTCTTATCCAGAGCGACTTACAGTTAGTGAGTGCATACATAATTTTTATATTTTTCATACCCCCCGTGGGAATGACATTTGTCATCTTTGTAAAATTGTGCTTATCTCAACGTTATGTCATGAAACTACAAGAATCCAGACCATGTCATGCTTTGTAATAATATTCAAGAATATGTGTGAAAAGGCCAGTCTGACATGTGGGCCCTTCAGGTGAAGACAAATGTCGTGGGTTTGGGTATGTTACCTACTCCATGGAGGAGGATGCACAGCGCGCCGTTAGAGGTGAAAGACTACAATGGACAGAAGATCAACGTGTCGGTGGCCAAGAAAAATCGAAACGACAAGAAAAGGAGAACAACGGGTATGGAAAACTTATGTGGATGCTTAGCTGTTATTTAGCTAGATGCCTACCTTACATTTTTTATGGTGAAGTTAGAGGATCAAACATTTTATTGTCATCTTGTCTTCTACACAGCCACAGCACCAAAAGAACCAGTACCACAAAAATAACATAAATCTCAAGGAAGTGTAGTATATGAAGAATTATTACTTTGCTAATGTTTTCAAGTGGAACCTGAGAGGATGTTTATTTAGTGTCAGAGGGAATTGTTTTAGGGTGACGCCCCATAGAAGACAGGGGATTGGACAGTAGAGGGAGCCACCCATATTTTGGGAATATTATAAGTACTGGGTTTAAACAAAGAAGAGCGGAGCGGACATTGTAATTTGGAAAACACTGCTCTCCGGGTGATCATGACATCTGTAAACTTATGCTGAAATCTTGTGACATGAATAAAACTTATGATCAAAGTTCAGTATAAGCGGACTCCTTTGTTTAACAGCAATAATTAGCAACATTGACTCGACACTACAAAATGGCGTCACGAACTGGATCGGTCTGCGTCTCTCCTTTGTTCCATTCATGGGCGCCGAGCTGACTCTCGTTCCAAAGTCATGGCCAGATAAGGGTGAGTTTCCTCACCACTTTGGGCATTTGTTAGTTCGAAGGCTATTTGAGTGTGCAAGGGGGAGATGTACCGTGTAAAGTACTTGTGTGTGCTGGTGTGGCTGTTATTGCTGTGGACTAGGGGTCTGTCATAACTATTCTAAATTTGGTTGCACTGGTGAACGGCGCAAATAGGGGGGAGTGTCTATAGAGATATTTTGCTTGAATAGGAATTCAAGAACAATCGATTGAAAGGAATAAGGCCAAGGTATATGTATACAAATTAGGACATTGCGAATCTGGAAAGACCTCTAAACAAGGCGATCTTTAGGATGGGCCGAAAATCCTGTAACATGTTAGATGGAATGGGTGAGTCCTGGGGACTGGAGGCTGTGGTATATACATTCTATTGCAAGTTACCGCTCAGCTGGTGTTTGACGAAGCATTTGTTTGATGTGACCGCTCATTGAATATCCATAGAACTCGCGGCAGCATAAAGTTAGGGACAAAGGAAAATGAATTTTACGGCGCAATGTAGGTTACATTGCTACATGCTACATGTTACATACATGCTACATGCTACATGCTAACATGTGACCTTAGAGGGCCATCGAGATGGAATAAAGCCTCTTAAATTATGTTTGTGTGTGTAGAATTTAAGTTCTAGGCTTTGTGAGCTCTGTTAAATGTTGTTTGGCTATGAGGAGAAAACGGAGTTACAGCGGGACTGTTAACTTTCTGTTTGGCTTGGGGAGAGAGCTGCTTGAGGGCTCCGTCCACGCTGAAATCGTACTGGTGAATGAACTGCGCATGCGTGTGATTTTGTGACTTTAGAGTTACGTAGGGAGAATATGCCACTGCCTACACTGGGTGCAAGGGGGAGACACAGACGCAGACAAAAGACAGAGATTTAGAGTCTAATGGTGTATTCTGGTTGTTACATCGGCTGTTTGACGATGAAACTGTTTTCTTGAGACATATTGAATTGATAAATGAGAGAGATATGTTGACGGATTAAAAATAAAAATAATTAAATAAATAAATAAAATAAAAATGTTATTGAGCTATTTATGCGATTCCTGAGTTAATTCTTAGCGCAAATGTGACTGGAGGAATATTGAATGGTTGAAATAACTCAGTGACTGCATAAACTACTAAATTCTTGTCTGTTTCTTTGTTCTTTTGTCATATGAGAGACGATAAGAGGAACGAGGAGAGAGAGAGAAAGAGAGGAAGTGCTGACGTGTACATCATGTGACAGGGTGTGACGCGACAAGAGGCTGCTGCGACAGGATCAAGTCAAAAGAGAATCAGGCTAGTGCTGTTCTGTTTACAAAGTCTTCCCCTACAGGATATTTGATGTTATGACAATTTGACAAAGACTTGGCAAAAGACTGATAAAATAAAAATGGCATTTTGGAGTTTCTGTGAATGAGTGGGTTTGATTAGAGTTGTGTTGGGAATCGAGTACTGACATTATTCTGTAAAATTAAGATAATTGGATGCTTATTAAGCAATGGGTTTTATGAGTACTGTAGTGTTGCTGGATTATAGGTGTTTTCTTTTTGGATTGCTCTGAAGTTGTCTACTTTCCTGTACTTTTCCTGATTGAAGGTGGTAAGATAGCCACTAATTGATAAATTAGTAAAATAGGAAATATATATATATATATTTTTTGATTATTCATAAATTTATTGATTAATTGTTTAATTGAAGAAAAGAAAAAATATTAATTATTTTTTTGAATATTCATATTGTTATTGATTAATTTTTATTATTTAGGGGAAAAAAATGTTTTAGTTTATATTAAAAATTAAAGGGAGGACACTATAAGCTATATATTCTAAAATAATAATAAAATAATTCACAATAAAGGAATATAAAAGAGTTGTTACAATGGGGAAAAAGGACATAAGGACTATGAAGGTAATTACACCTGTTGATATAGTACAAAATAGTAATCCTTTAGTTAATGGTATTGCAGGGTTATCCGGCAAATGGAACAAACGTTGGCCTGACATTGAACAACCATGGCCAGTGGAAGGGACTCTTAACCCTGACGTAATCAACATAATGAAAGTGCTTCTGTCAATTCATAAAGCAGTTCAAAAGAGAGGGAAAAAAGGGAACAACGTAAAGAAAAGAGACAAAGAGAGCTGGGTGTTCTTAAGCTGTTTGAGAATGAAGGACAAAAACTGATAAAAGATGCCAGAGAAAAACTAATGGCAGAAGTCAGTACACCTTTCTCACATACGGATTCAGGAAAAAGACCCCCACCTTATGAGGAAGAAGTAGAGCGTAAGGACGTCTATCCTCAGCTTCCGGTGATCATTCAGGAGGGTGATTATTGCATCAGAGATGAAGAGGAACGAATAATAGAGAGAGGACAAGCAGAAACGACCATAAAAATGAATCCAAACTCCAGAAGTAAGAAAAAACCGAGATGTCTGGAAACTAAGAGAAGAATGAGGTTCGGAAAGATGAAGACAAAGATGAAGACTTGGAGAGTAAAGGTGCTTCATATTCAAGAGGATTTTACCCAACAATGATTAGCAAAGAAGAAATAGAAAGAGATATAGACCGATGCGTATCATGCCTGGATAAAGCGAATAGTTTAGAAGAAGTAACACAACTGGAGGAACAACTCAAGAAGCTGAAGATACAGAAGAAGAAACTGCTGAGAAAAGGATCCCAAGAATTGGAGGAGAATAATACATTGAGGCCAAGGAAAGAGAGAAAAGTAAGAAGATGATGGAAGATGATATTTCGAGGACAGAACTTAGAATATAACCTTTTGAAGAATACTGATATGTCAACAACAAGAAAGAGCAGGACCAAGAAACTGTCAGAAAACTTGATCAAATACAACTGGAGGGGAAGGAGAAGAAGAAGGAGAAGAAAAGCTTTGGTTATGAAGAATCAGGGTGAACCAAATCAACAATCACTGCTATAGCTTCAACTGAACAAGGTCAAATGCAATTGTACCAGCCACAACAAGTGGTATAAGTTGTTCCATATCCATATATAGTTTCTGGAAAGAGGGAATTTCTGAGGAAGATAAAGGAGCAAGTGAAGATCACCTGTACTCCAGGTGAACCCTTAAAGGAGCAAGGATTCTAGAGTGCCTAGAAGATCCGAAGGGGGGTGTCAGCTGGTAGCACCAATTAGGGAAAAAATATCCAACAATTGAAGTGAAAACAAAGGACTATGAGAAGTGATGGTGAGTAGAGGAAAAGCTTTTATCTGTGTTGAGCCTAAAGAGGTTACACATCTCACTATGTAAAATTAACTAATTAGGATAGGGATTTGAGGGAGTAAAACAGTTGATTACTCTTAAGGAACCAATTGAGCTCTGCTATAAAAATCAAAGAGAAATTAAAATACACATACTGGTATCAGAACATATACCTATTGCATTGTTTGGAAGAGATGCATTGTGTAAATTGAACTGTACAATAAGATGTACACTAGACGGCTGTCTGGTAGAAGATTTTAAAAGAGTAGGGTTTTTGGGAATCTATTAGACTGCCTATTAGACAATCTGTCTGAAAAATTAAGTTAAAAGGGGTGACTGTTATTCTTGGTTACATTCCTACACCAGGAGATTTCAAACTAGGCTAAAAGATGTTTAATCGTTTGCCAAGTCTGTGTGTGAAGAAGTCAGAAGCAGGTGGGGATTTCCCGATCAGATATTCAAAAAAATTGGTGGTAAGGGCTTTTGTGAATAAATCAGTGGAAAGGGTTTTTAAAAGTTAGGAGAAAAGATTAGATTAAAAAAGTTAGGAAAACTAGGGTTGAAGGAACTCTAGGACAGTAAGCTAAGTTTCAATGTTAGTTAGTAGTAAGAGAGAGAGAACTAGTGGTGATAGATGGAAATACAAGTCAGGAGTTCAAAGTCTTAGGGAGAATGGATGAAGTAACAACAAGGACATTAACACTTCAGCATATTAAAACAACAGTTAGAAGCAATTCAACTCTTTCAACATTGATAGTTATTGAAGCCATCAATATATCGCATTTGATTACAAGGGAGCCAATAGCTCCAGCACCAATTTTAGAGGAATTTCATAGTCTGGGAAGCCTACCATTGGAGGATAAGTCTAAGAGAGAAGTGGGGATTTTTCCAGGGTATGGTGTAAAATTTGGGAAGATAACATAGATAATATTACCTATACTTTGCAGGGTTTTGCAAATGAAACGATAAGAGGGTTTAACCTTCTGTCGAATACTCAAAGAAGTCACAGACTGACGCTGTTAAAACATGATATGGCTCTTGACTATATTCTAGCAAAACAAGGTGGCTTATGTTTGGCTATGACTTTGACGGGGGATGATTGTTATACTTTGATTCCAGATAGTTCAGATAATATCACTAGTGTTATAGATGCATTGAAGAATATAAGGGATGCATTTGGTAGATCTGAAGGAGCTGGATGGTCAGCGAAGTCTTGGTTGCAAGATCAGTTAGGCCCAGTGGGAGCAGTGATGGTTCAGATTTTAGTAGCAGCTTTGATAGCACTGTGTGTGATGTTTTTCTTTTGTAATTTGTTACTGACCTTTGCGAAAGCTATGATATTGAGATGGGTTGGAGTAGTGATGCCTGGAGACAACACTCAGATGCCGTTGTTGACTGTTCCTGATCTGGATGAAGAGGGACAAGTGGGACTGGATGGAGTATTGATGGATAAATATCATTTTTTGATTATTTGATTATTTTTTAAATGTTTTTCAATATTAGTGTGATTTTAGTATTTTGTTATGAATCAAAGGGGGGAAATAGGATAATGTGATTCATATATCATTTATATATCATTTTTTTATATTCTTAGTTGATATTGATGTTTTAATTTGAAAGTGTTGTTTTGCAAAAGATACTGTTTGGTCTTTTCTTTTCTTCCAGAAGCATTTGGGGGAATATGTAGAGATTGAAATACTCAAACAAGGACAATATGAAGGGACAATATGAAAGGAGAATATGAAGGGAAAGGAGGAGATGGAACAAGGAAGGTGTGGAAATGTTCCGATTCCATCATCAACGATGCATTGGAAGTCGACACTGCTGAGGAGATGAAGTGTAGTGGACTACATTCCAGTGTCTGCAATGAAATATAGACATATTTGCATGTGGAATACATAATTTGTGTCATATTCTTTCTGTATTAATTTTTGTAGAATGATATTTGATGTTATTGGATACATGTGGGGATCTTAGATGTTTTTGTTTATTTCGTGAATGCTTAGGGACATGAAGTCTAGGCAGGGATAGAGATAATCCACCGTAGGGTCCGATGGGTCGACCAGCCTGAGAGTGGACATTTTGGATAGTATTTTGTTTGCTGGGGCTTTCATGTGTATTTAATTGCATCATAGTTTCAAATGCATTGATAAAGATTTATGAATTGATCTGGAGTACTTAGGTGGTTGCCTGGGGCAGAGGGGCCGTGAGAGAATTTTACTGTCTTGATTGATGGATGGATATTTGGAAAGAAGGCTGCCAGACAGGTTTTTCGCTCTCACACTCCATAAAGATTTGTTCATATTTCATAGAAATGTATTTACACTCCATAGAAAAATGTGTTTTTGGTTTATTGTTAAAGATACTCAATAAGATAAATTGTTACTTGTCATAATCCTATTCTGTTTGTTTTCGAGACTTTTAGTTAGTCTCGAAGGGGGGAATGTAGTATATGAAGAATTATGACTTTGCTAATGTTTTCAAGTGGAACCTGAGAGGATGTTTATTTAGTGTCAGAGGGAATTGTTTTAGGGTGACGCCCCATAGAAGACAGGGGATTGGACAGTAGAGCGAGCCACCCATATTTTGGGAATATTATAAGTACTGGGTTTAAACAAAGAAGAGCGGAGCGGACATTATAATTTGGAAAACACTGCTCTCCGGGTGATCATGACATCTGTAAACTTATGCTGAAATCTTGTGACATGAATAAAACTTATGATCAAAGTTCAGTATAAGCGGACTCCTTTGTTTAACAGCAATAATTAGCAACATTTACTCGACACTACAGAGGCTTAAAGAAAAACGGAAGGAAAGCCAGACTGATCATAAGTAATCTCAGTTTCAAGGTATGACACACACTAGTGATGCGCGGAACCGCCTGACTGAGGCCTGCACCCAACCCTAACCCGCAAATATAGAAAATGCGCTGTACAGTCAGAGATGACCGAATTCGTTTTTGACTGGCCTTTTTTAGATAAGCCTATGTTTTTGCTTATAATTTCCAACATTTTAGGCTATTTGTTAGTCAACTTGTATATAATTACACACGTGCAGCTTCTCTTCTGTCATTACTTGTAGCCCTAGAAGACTAAATAAACCCTTGCTCACCAGAATGTCATAAATTGATCGAATCGATAGTTTCTCTTTCCTCTTTCATCTCTGCTTCTCTCCCGCAGCAAAGATGTTTGGGGACCAGGGAGAAAGTGCAATAAAAATAAAGGGGAAAGCTTTTCCATGCAACATTTCCAAGTGTCACCAGTTTGACCAGTTTTAAGGAAATTAATAGCTGTTAAAACGACCAACATGTTTTTGATAAGATTTCAGTTCGGCTTGGATGCATATTTTATGACGCTGATAAAGATGGCACCTTTACAGACGGTCCCTAACCGTGCATTTATTCTCTCCTAGATACTGAAAGAAAGAGATCATATTTCTCCACTCCTGATCCCGAGTAAAAGTGTTGCATTTGGTGTATAATTTTACTGCAAGAAATGCTTAATTCTAAGGGAGCTAATATTATACACTGCTCAAAAAAATAAAGGGAACACTTAAACAACACAATGTAACTCCAAGTCAATCACACTTCTGTGAAATCAAACTGTCCACTTAGGAAGCGACACTGATTGGCAATACATTTCACATGCTGTTGTGCAAATGGAATAGACAACAGGTGGAAATTATAGGCAATTAGCAAGACACCCCCAATAAAGGACTGGTTTTGCAGGTGGTGACCACAGACCACTTCTCAGTTCCTATGCTTCCTGGCAGAGGTTTTGGTCACTTTTGAATGCTGGCGGTACTTTCACTCTAGTGGTAGCATGAGACGGAGTCTACAACCCACACAAGTGGCTCAGGTAGTGCAGCTCATCCAGGATGGCACATCAATGCGAGCTGTGGCAAGAAGGTTTGCTGTGTCTGTCAGCGTAGTGTCCAGAGCATGGAGGCGCTACCAGGAGACAGGCCAGTACATCAGGAGACGTGGAGGAGGCCGTAGGAGGGCAACAACCCAGCAGCAGGACTGCTACCTCCGCCTTTGTGCAAGGAGGAGCAGGAGGAGCACTGCCAGAGCCCTGCAAAATGACCTCCAGCAGGCCACAAATGTGCATGTGTCTGCTCAAACGGTCAGAAACAGACTCCATGAGGGTGGTATGAGGGCCCGACGTCCACAGGTGGGGGTTGTGCTTACAGCCCAACACCGTGTAGGACGTTTGGCATTTGCCAGAGAACACCAAGATTGGCAAATTCGCCACTGGCGCGCTGTGCTCTTCACAGATGAAAGCAGGTTCACACTGAGCACGTGACAGACGTGACAGAGTCTGGAGACGCCGTGGAGAACGTTCTGCTGCCTGCAACATCCTCCAGCATGACCGGTTTGGCGGTGGGTCAGTCATGGTGTGGGGTGGCATTTCTTTGGGGGGCCGCACAGCCCTCCATGTGCTCGCCAGAGGTAGCCTGACTGCCATTAGGTACCGAGATGAGATCCTCAGACCCCTTGTGAGACCATATGCTGGTGCGGTTGGCCCTGGGTTCCTCCTAATGCAAGACAATGCTAGACCTCATGTGGCTGGAGTGTGTCAGCAGTGCCTGCAAGAGGAAGGCATTGATGCCATGGACTGGCCCACCCGTTCCCCAGACCTGAATCCAATTGAGCACATCTGGGACATCATGTCTCGCTCCATCCACCAACGCCACGTTGCACCACAGACTGTCCAGGAGTTGGCGGATGCTTTAGTCCAGGTCTGGGAGGAGATCCCTCAGGAGACCATCCGCCACCTCATCAGGAGCATTCCCAGGCGTTGTAGGGAGGTCATACAGGCACGTGGAGGCCACACACACTACTGAGCCTCATTTTGACTTGTTTTAAGGACATTATATCAAAGTTGGATCAGCCTGTAGTGTGGTTTTCCACTTTAATTTTGAGGGTGACTCCAAATCCAGACCTCCATGGGTTGATACATTTGATTTCCATTGATCATTTTTGTGTGATTTTGTTGTCAGCACATTCAACTATGTAAAGAAAAAAGTATTTAATAAGATAATTTCATTAATTCAGATCTAGGATGTGTTATTTTAGTGTTCCCTTTATTTTTTTGAGCAGTGTATTAGGCTATGTGAGAGGTCGAATTTGTATAGCGCCTCGCAATCATCACACTGCTATCATCCTCTTTTTACCACTTCACCAAATCGTTCCCAAACATTAGAATACTGTTCTGGCCCTCCCTTCTATTTATTTTCAACTCTCCATTTTGCAGCTTTTCTCTTGTTGAATGAAACTCTGACCTTTTTGCCTCAGTGGATCGATGTCAACTTTTTCTGCCCAAGTTCCCAGATGCGTTTGGCAATTGATGTATATTTGGCACGCTACAGTTAGGCCCTAAAGCTTAGGCTACGCAGCAATGGCAGATAAAAAAGAATGAAAGAAAAACCTAAATGTAGCCCATAGATATGAATTGCACAATAATTATACTGAGTGTACCTGCTCTTTCCATGACACAGATTTGACCAGGTGTATCCAGGTGAAAGCTGTGATCCCTTATTGATGTCACTTGTTAAATCCACTTCAATCAGTGTAGATGAAGGGGGGGAGACAGGTTAAAGAAGGATTTAAGCCTTGAGATAATTGAGACATGTATTGTATGTGTGCCATTCAGAGGGTGAATGGACAAGACTAAATATTTAAGTGCCTTTGAACGGGGTATTGTAGTAGGTTCCAGGTGCACTGGTTTGAGTGCGTCAAGAACTGCAACGCTGCTGGGTTTTTCACACTCAACAGTTTCCCGTGTGTATCAAGAATGATCCACCATCCAAAGGACATCCAGCCAACTTGACACAACTGTGAGAAGCATTGGAGTCAACATGGGCCAGCATCCCTGTGGAATGCTTTCGAAACCTTGTAGAGTCCATGCCCCGACAAATTGAGGCTGTTCTGAGGGCAAAAAGGGGTGCACCTCAATATTAGGAAGGTGTTCCTATTGTTTTGTACACTGTGTACATTCATGGATTTTAAATGCATTGTTTTCTCTTTATTCAACCTGGGACTGTGGGTTACGAGTCAACCCGTGCATCACTAACACACCCACACAGACAATCTTTCTCTTTGGCCTCCACTTTGTGCAAGGATGCTTTGTCTGCAGTTAGTTGTTAATGTTTGTCTTCGGTACCCACAGTGCTCTGAGGATGATCTGAAGCAGACCTTTGCCAAGTTTGGGACAGTTCTGGAGGCTAACATCCCCCTTAAACCAGGTACAGACTTAACCTTGAGAGAATCACCACCCAACCACACTAAGCACTGTTGAGCCTTTGTGGATTTAGTTGTGCAAAGACAACTGCAGAGTCAATATCATGTTTTCTATCTGGTGGCTGACTATTCCTCACTCTGTTTACCTTCCTGTGTGTGTATGTCATCAGATGGAAAGATGCGGGGCTTTGCGTTTGTCCAGTTTAAGAACGTCTTGGGGGCAGGAAAGGCCTTGAACGCAATAAACCTAAAGGAGATCAAAGGTGAGACACCTTAACCTGGTGTGTGTGTGTGTGTGAATTGAAAACCTGGTCAAGGTGTGGAGAACTGCTAGATGAAAAATATAAGGGGAACAACTTCTATATTTAAAAGTTTAATAGACAAAGACAGACATATGCATATGTGAAGACATACAGTTGAAAAACTCAGTTTTTCACAATTCCTGACATTTAATCCTAGTAAGAATTCCCTGTCTTAGGTCAGTTAGGATCACCACTTTATTTTAAGAATGTAAAATGTCAGAATAATAGTAGAGAGAAGGATTTATTTCAGCTTTTATTTATTTCATCACATTCCCAGTGGGTCAGAAGTTTACATACACTCAATTAAAATTTGGTAGCATTGTCTTTAAATTGTTTAACTTGGGTCTGTCACACCCTGGCTATGGGACTCTAGTTGTTGAGCCAGGGTGTGTTTGTTCTATGTGGTGTGTTTCTATGTTGGGGGTTCTAGTTCGTCTATTTCTATGTTTTGCCTGAGTGACTCCCAATCAGAGGCAACGAGTGTCAGCTGTTGGCTGGTTGTCTCTGATTGGGAGCCATATTTAAACTGTCTGTTTTCCCTTTGTGTTTGTGGGTTTTTGTTCCGTGTTCGGTCATTGTTACCGTTGGACGTCACGAGTCGTTTCTTGTTTTGTTTATGGTAGATTATCACTAAAGATAATAAAGTTCACCATGTTCGTTCAACACGCTGCGCATTGGTCTCTCCCTGACGATCGTGACAGAAAAACCCACCAAAACTGGACCAAGCAGCGTGAAGAGGAGAGAGGAAGGACTTGGGATCGATGGAGTAGGGGTCTCGACTGGGCTAAGCCGAGTGAAGAGCAGAGAGGGTGGACTTGGGAACAGTGGAGGAAGAGTCTCGACTGGGTCAAGCCTAATGAAGAGCAGAATGGCTGGAGTTGGAGGCAGAAGAGCGAGAGTTGGGCGAAAACTATAGAGGCCTGGCCCACGGGGAGGAGAGACCCCCAGAAAATTTTTAGGGGGGGGCTCACGACGTCGGGGCAGCAGGAGGCCGCGATAGAGCGGTCCAGCGGGTTGGCAGAGGAGGCCGCCATGTTAAGGGGGCCACTGGTCACTAAGGGGAAGGAAAGTGTGGAGGCACGGCGAGAGGTACTGGGGTGTGTTACCAGTCCGGTCCGGCCCGTTCCTGATCCCCGCGTAGGGCCAGGGGTGTGTGTCCCCAGTGCGGTCCGGTCTGTTCCTGTTCCTCGCATCGAGCCTGTGGTGCGCGTCGCCAGCCCGGTCCGGCCTGTTCCTGCTCCCCGCATCGAGCCTGTGGTACGCTTCGCCAGCCCGGTCCGTTCCTGCTCCCCGCACCAAGTCAGTAGTGCGCTTCGTCAGCCCGGTCCGGCCCGTTCCTGCTCCCCGCACCAAGTAAGTGGTGCGCTTCGTCAGTCCGGCACGGCCCGTGCCTGCTCCCCGCACCAAGCCTACGGTGTGCGTCGCCAGCCCGGCCCGGCCTGTTCCTGCCCCTCGCACCAAGCCTACGGTGCGCATCGCCAGCCCGGTAAGGCCCGTTGCTGCTCCACGCACCAAGCCTACGGTGCGCGTCGCCAGCCCGGCCCGGCCTGTTCCAGCCACTCGCACCAAGTCTACGGTGTGCGTCGCCAGCCCGGCCCGGCCTGTTCCTGCCACTCGCACCAAGTCTACGGTGCGAGTCGTCAGCCTGGTCCAGCCCGTTCCTGCTACTCGCACCAAGCCAGGGGTGCGAGTCGTCAGCCTGGTCCAGCCCGTTCCTGCCACTCGCACCAAGCCAGGGGTGCGAGTCGTCAGCCTGGTCCAGCCCGTTCCGGCCACTCGCACCAAGCCAGGGGTGCGAGTCGTCAGTCCAGTGAGGCCCGTTGCTGCTCCACGCACCAAGCCAGGGGTGCGTATCGTCAGCCAGGTCCGGTCCTTTCCTGCCTCACGCACCAAGCCAGGGGTGCGCGTCGTCTGTCCGGCACAACCTGTGCCTGGGTCACCGGTGCCTAACCAGGTACCGGTCAACGGCTCCACTACGGAGTTGAAGCTAACCGCTCCTGCTACGTCCAGTCCAGTTCTAGCCAGCGGGGCCAGACCGGACCAGGGGCACTATGGGGGGTTTGTTGGAGGGTGGTGGGCAAGCCCGGAGCCAGAACCGCCGCCGAGGAGGTATGCCCACCCAGCCCTCCCCTGTTTTGCTCTTTTTGAGGCGCGGTCGCAGTCCGCGCCTTTAGGGGGGGGGGGGGTACTGTCACACCCTGGCTATGGGACTCTAGTTGTTGAGCCAGGGTGTGTTTGTTCTATGTGGTGTGTTTCTATGTTGGGGGTTCTAGTTCGTCTATTTCTATGTTTTGCCTGAGTGACTCCCAATCAGAGGCAACGAGTGTCAGCTGTTGGCTGGTTGTCTCTGATTGGGAGCCATATTTAAACTGTCTGTTTTCCCTTTGTGTTTGTGGGTTTTTGTTCCGTGTTCGGTCATTGTTACCGTTGGACGTCACGAGTCGTTTCTTGTTTTGTTTATGGTAGATTATCACTAAAGATAATAAAGTTCACCATGTTCGTTCAACACGCTGCGCATTGGTCTCTCCCTGACGATCGTGACAGGGTCAAACGTTTCGGGTAGCCTTCCACAAGCTTCCCACAATAAGTTGGGTGAATTTTGGCACATTCCTCCTGACAGAGCTGGTGTAACTGAGTCAGGTTTGTACGCCTCCTTGCTCGCACACACTTCTTCAGTTCTGCCCACAATTTTTCTATAGGATTGAGGTCAGGGCTTTGTAATGGCCACTCCAATACCTTGACTTTGTTGTCCTTAAGCCATTTTGCCACAACTTTGGAAGTATGCTTGGGGTCATTGTCCATTTGGAAGACCCATTTGCGACCAAGCTTTAACTTCCTAACTGATGTCTTGAGATGTTGCTTCAATATATCCACATAATTTTCCTTCCTCATGATGCCATCTATTTTGTGAAGTGCACCAGTCCCTCCTGCAGCAAAGCACCCCCACAGCATGATGCTGCCAACCCCGTGCTTCACGGTTGGGATGGTGTTCTTCGGCTTGCAAGCAGCCCCCTTTTTCCTCCAAACATAATGATGGTTATTATGGCCAAACAGTTCTATTTTTGTTTCATCAGACCAGAGGATATTTCTTAAAAAAGTAAGATCTTTGTCCCCATGTGCAGTTACAAACCGTAGTCTGGCTTTTTTATGGCGGTTTTGGAGCAGTGGCTTCTTCCTTGCTGAGCGGCCTTTCAGGTTATGTCGATATAGGACTCGTTTTACTGTGGATATAGATACTTTTGTACCTGTTTCCTCCAGCATCTTCACAAGGTCCTTTGCTGTTGTTCTGGGATTGATTTGCACTTTTCGCACCTCGCATCTCTAAGAGACAGAACGCGTCTCCTTCCTGAGCGGTATGACGGCTGCGTGGTCCCGTTTTGTTTATACTTGCGTACTATTGTTTGTACAGATGAACGTGGTACCTTCAGGCATTTGGAAATTGCTCCCAAGGATGAACCAGACTTGGAGGTCTACAATGTTTTTTCTGAGGTCTTGGCTGATTTCTTTTGATTTTCCCATGTCAAGCAAAGAGGCACTGAGGTTGAAGGTGGTAGGCCTTGAAATACAGTGGGGAAAAAAGTATTTAGTCAGCCACCAATTGTGCAAGTTCTCCCACTTAAAAAGATGAGAGAGGCCTGTAATTTTCATCACAGGTACACGTCAACTATGACAGACAAAATGAGAAAGAAATATCCAGAAAATCACACTGTAGGATTTTTAATGAATTTATTTGCAAATTATGGTGGAAAATAAGTATTTGGTCAATAACAAAAGTTTCTCAATACTTTGTTATATACCCTTTGTTGGCAATGACACAGATCAAACGTTTTCTGTAAGTCTTCACAAGGTTTTCACACACTGTTGCTCGTATTTTGGCCCATTCCTCCATGCAGATCTCCTCTAGAGCAGTGATGTTTTGGGGCTGGGCAACACAGACTTTCAACTCCCTCCAAAGATTTTCTATGGGGTTGAGATCTGGAGACTGGCTAGGCCACTCCACGACCTTGAAATTGGCTGACTAAATACTTTTTCCCCCCGCTGTACATCCACAGGTACACCTCCAATTGACTCAAATGATGTCAATGAGCCTATCAGAAGCTTCTAAAGCCATTACATTATTTTCTGGAATTTTCCAAGCTGTTTAAAGGCACAGTCAACTTAGTGTATGTAATCTTCTGACCCACTGGAATTGTGATACAGTGAATTATAAGTGAAATAATCTGTCTGTAAACAATTGTTGGAAAAATTACTTGTGTCATGCACAAAGTAGATGTCCTAGCCGACTTGCCAAAACTATAGTTTGTTAACAAGAAATGTGTGGAGTGGTTGAAAAACGAGTTTTAATGACTCCAACCTAAGTTTATGTAAACTTCCGACTTCAACTGTATGTTCCTCTAAGAGGTTTGCAGCAAATCTCTCACCCTCCAGAGGGGAGGGTTGACCTAAATACCCTTGCCTTATCTGTTTGTTGTTTCACCCTTCCATGCCCGGTGCCAAAACATTAAATCAAGGTGGAGACCTTGAGGTTGAATAGACTATACATTTTAAACATCTTAATCGTTTAAGGACACCTATGGCCGGTTTTATGGCTCAGGGGCCCAGATCCCATTTACTGAGACCTGCTTTACGGTGACCTCTGACCTGAGAGAGGGTACCTAGAGGCCAAATTCCTTTAGGGAATACTCATCAGAAAATAGCTTTCTTAAGTGTGTGTGTGAGAGAGCGAGACCTTTTTCTGCCCTGTGAATATCTCTGATAAAGATGGGGCACATCTCAATAGTCTACTGTAGCTTCCTCTGCTGTGATCAAGTCATTATATCCTCTGTCCTTTACAGGAAGGCAGGTAGCTGTGGATTGGGCTGTGGCTAAAGACAAGTTTGTCGCTACTCAGCCAGGAGCTAAGAAAGAGGAAAAGGTCGCAGCAGAGAAAGCGGCACCTGAAAGTGACTCGGAAGAGGAGGCGGAGGAGGAAGAAGTAGAAGAAGAGAAGAAACCATTAGAACATTCAAAGAACAAGTATGAACTTTTGCTGTCTGTAATCTCTATTTCTGCATGTCCTCAGTTTGAGATGGGCTGTAAAGATGTAGACGTTGACCTAGATGTAATTAAGCAATAAGGCATGAGAACCCAGGGATTATCGTGTGAATAACTGCCGACTAAGGGTTGTTATAAGACCCAACGCGGTGGGCCAGAGAAACAGCCCATAGGAGGGAGTTATTTCACTATAATTCCCATTTTAGAAAACAGTTACCAACATATTTTTAAAAAGATGAATGACATGTTTTCATAAATGAAAATGAGTAAATTAGTTTAATTTCGTCCTTCCACCAGACGATATAGTCCGGGCAAAAGCCAGTTGTTAGTTCTGAGATTCTGAAGTTGCTAGCCAAAGAAGCTGTTTGTCCATTCCAAACATTCTAAGCAAAAAAGGTTGCCATGCAGGCTAGCTACTTCTCCTTTGCTAGCTAGCCAACTAAAGCTAACACACAATCAAATCAAGCAGCTAAAATGACAACAGACTACGCATTTTAGTTTGTTTTACCTTTGTTTCTATTGCCATTTATTTTGATATATCCATTAAAATGATCCTGATAAATGAATTAGTCTGGCTCAGAGATGTTGTCAGTAATGTTCATTCTCTCCTATGGAATGGTGGAGATCGCCAAAAATACCTGTAATATTGTTGCACATGTCGGAAAAGCCGGCAGCAAGGTTTAGACAAACCCCAACTGTTGCAAACCAAATACTAGCCTAGTAGAATGAGGAAATAATGTCTAAACTTTTTTCCAGGGGAGATGAAGTTTATAAATTGCCTGGCTGGGCTGTAGGACAGTGGATGCGCATTGATAATTCAAATTGAACTGTTAACAGGCATTACCTGGGGATTGTGGTGAATAACTCCCTGCTATCAACCAATCAGGATCCAAACAGTTGGTCTTCTTTGACCTGTCTTTGTCCTTTGGTTCTGAGGACTGGAGTATTGCAGCCAGGATATCGTTGAAGTGTTGTGTTTAATAGTCCTTCTGTCTCTCTACAGAGTCCGCTCTAAGCCAGCTCAGCAGCCAGACAGCCCGTCAGAGGATGAGAGTGAGGAAGGAGAGGGTGATGATGAGGAGAATGAAGAAGCAGAGTCTCAGGAGGCAGATGACGATAATAAAAGTGATCTTGGGTCTGATGAAGATGATGATGACGACTGTGAGGATTCTGGTATGAAATGGTTGTCTTTTCTCTTGATGTAATATCACAGTGTGTATGTTCCAGGTTGCCCTCTGTTTGAACCCCTCTCTCTCTCTCTCTCTCTCTCTCTCTCTCTCTCTCTCTCTCTCTCTCTCTCTCTCTCTCTCTCTCTCTCTCTCTCTCTCTCTCTCTCTCTCTCTCTCTCTCTCTCTCTCTCTCTCTCTCTCTCTCTCTCTCTCTCTACATATACATACTGCTCAAAAAAATAAAGGGAACACTTATGACACAACACAATGTAACTCCAAGTCAATCACACTTCTGTGAAATCAAACTGTCCACTTAGGAAGCAACACTGATTGACAATAAATGTCACATGCTGTTGTGCAAATGGAATAGACAACAGGTGGAAATTATAGGCAGTTAGCAAGACACCCCCAATAAAGGACTGGTTTTGCAGGTGGTGACCACAGACCACTTCTCAGTTCCTATGCTTCCTGGCTGATGTTTTGGTCACTTTTGAATGCTGGCGGTGCTTTCACTCTAGTGGTAGCATGAGACGGAGTCTACAACCCACACAAGTGGCTCAGGTAGTACAGCTCATCCAGGATGGCACATCAATGCGAGCTGTGGCAAGAAGGTTTGCTGTGTCTGTCAGCGTAGTGTCCAGAGCATGGAGGCGCTACCAGGAGACAGGCCAGTACATCAGGAGACGTGGAGGAGGCCGTAGGAGGGTAACAACCCAGCAGCAGGACCGCTACCTCCGCCTTTGTGCAAGGAGGAGCAGGAGGAGCACTGCCAGAGCCCTGCAAAATGACCTCCAGCAGGCCACAAATGTGCATGTGTCTTCTCAAACGGTCAGAAACAGACTCCATGAGGGTGGTATGAGGGCCCGACGTCCACAGGTGGGGGTTGTGCTTACAGCCCAACACCGTGCAGGACGTTTGGCATTTGCCAGAGAACACCAAGATTGGCAAATTTGTCACTGGCGCCCTGTGCTCTTCACAGATGAAAGCAGGTTCACACTGAGCACATGTGACAGACGTGACAGAGTCTGGAGACGCCGTGGAGAACGTTCTGCTGCCTGCAACATCCTCCAGCATGACCGGTTTGGCGGTGGGTCAGTCATGGTGTGGGGTGGCATTTCTTTGAGCTCCTCCATGTGCTCGCCAGAGGTAGCCTGACTGCCATTAGGTACCGAGATGAGATCCTCAGACCCCTTGTGAGACCATATACTGGTGCGGTTGGCCCTGGGTTCCTCCTAATGCAAGACAATGCTAGACCTCATGTGGCTGGAGTGTGTCAGCAGTTCCTGCAAGAGGAAGGCATTGATGCTATGGACTGGCCCGCCCGTTCCCCAGACCTGAATCCAATTGAGCACATCTGGGACATCATGTCTCGCTCCATCCACCAACGCCACGTTGCACCACAGACTGTCCAGGAGTTGGTGGATGCTTTAGTCCAGGTCTGGGAGGAGATCCCTCAGGAGACCATCCGCCACCTCATCAGGAGCATGCCCAGGCGTTGTAGGGAGGTCATACAGGCACGTGGAGGCCACACACACTACTGAGCCTCATTTTGACTTGTTTTAAGGACATTACATCAAAGTTGGATCAGCCTGTAGTGTGGTTTTCCACTTTAATTTTGAGTGTGACTCCAAATCCAGACTTCCATGGGTTGATAAATTTGATTTCCATTGATAATTTTTTTGTGATTTTGTTGTCAGCACATTCAACTATGTAAAGAAAAAAGTATTTAATAAGATTATTTCATTCATTCAGATCTAGGATGTTTTATTTTAGTGTTCCCTTTTATTTTTTTGAGCAGTGTATATATCTATCTCTCGTGCAGCCAAGAGGAAGCCCATCCCATCAGACGTCAATGAGGGCAAAACCATCTTTCTCAGGAACCTGTCGTTTGATACGGAACAGGAGTGCTTGGAGGAGGTATTACTGCAGTATGGAGAACTGAAGTACATCAAGATCTGTCTACACCCAGACACTGAACACTCTAAATGTATAGTCCTGGCTCCAACACAACCTCATTCTCTCTATAGCTCTGTCCCCCCCCAAACTTAAACAATGCGATGAAGTGGGATAGATGTCTACATGTTAACATTGAATCATGGTTGTGTTGGTTGGTAATGGTTGTTGACTGTGTTCTGTTGTCTGGTCAGGTATTGCCTTTGCTCAGTTCAAGTCTAAAGAAGCAGCAGAGAAATGCATTATTGCCGCGGAGGACGAGTCAGAGGTGAGACGGAATAGGATAAATTACTCATGCATTCTACAGGTACATCTCTTCTGATGAGCCCTGTGTTGCTGTAATGTATGTTTGGGGGTAACATGTTTGTGTCTGTCTTAGAGCGGGGGTATCCATGTGGATGGTAGGAAGCTGAACATCGTAGCGGCGGTAAGCAGAGAGGATGCCGTCAAACGGAAGGACAAGAAGGTCAAAACACACAGGGACCAGGAAAATCTACCTGGCTAGAGAGGGATGTAAGTTACAGCCCCTTTCTCCTCCCTTTTCCTCTCCTCTCCCCTATCTCATACCTCTCTTTCTCTCAGTGATACGGGCAGGAACTAAGGCAGCTGAGGACGTTCCAGCAGCAGACATGGCCAAGAGGACCAGAGTAAGTACTTACTGTTTTTCAACCAATCATAGCGTTGTCTTACAATCACAATAGTGTGTTGGTAACTGAGGGCTTGTGTCCCCAGTGTTTTTTTTTTTTTTTTTTTTCATTTTTATTTTAGGAAGGCCAGAGTGTGTGTATGTGTTAACCCTCTCCTTCTGTGTTAGTTTGAGGACCTGAAGCGGACCAAGCTACGGGACATGAATGTGTTTGTGTCCAAGAACCGCTTGTGTGTCCACAACCTGCCCAAGTCTGTAGACAGCAAACAACTACAACAACTCTGTCTGAAAGCTGCAGGAGCTGGCAAGGGGGTCCTCATTACCGAGGTAAGACACTCCTACCACATTTCCATAGCTGTTTCCATCTGAGTCAAATCTGGCAATAGGTCCTCATCTCTCTGGGTGATCGGTTAGTGACCACCAGGTAGCACTACAGTGCCTTCAGAAAGTATTCACACCCCCTTGACTTTTTGTGCTAATGGTTTCTTCTCCTCCTCTTCTTCAAAGTCACTTTCAAGTGCCACATTTTGTTGTGTTGCAGCCTGAATTCAACATTTTTTAAATTGACCCACCCATAATGTCAGTGTAATTGTTTATTTTTACAAATTAATTAAAAATGAAAAGCTGAAATGTCTTGAGTCAATAAGTATTCAACCCCTTTGTTATGGCAAGCCTAAATTAGTTCAGGAGTAAAAATGTGCTTAACAAGTCACATAATAAGCTGCATGGACTCACTCTGTGTGCAATAATAGTGTTTAACATGATTTTTGAACGACTACCTCATCTCTGTACCCCACACATAAAATTATATGTAAGTTCCCTCAGTCGACCAGTGAATTCTAAACACAGATTCAACCAGAAAGACCAGGTAGGTTTTCTAATGCCTCACAAAGAAGAGCACCTATTGTTAGATGGGTAAAAATAAAGCAGACATTGAATATCCCTTTGAGCATGTTTAAGTTATTACACTTTGGATGGTGTATCAATACACCCAGTCACTACAAAGATACAGGTGGCATTCCTACCTCAGTTGCTGGAGAGGAACGAAACCGCACAGGGTTTTGACCATGAGGCCAATAGTGACTTTAAAACAGTTACAGAGTTTAATGGCTGTGATAGGAGAAAACTGAGGAGAGATCAACAACATTGTAGTGACTCCACAATGCTAACCTAATTGACAGAGTGAAAAGATGGAACCCTGTACAGAACAAAAATATTCCAAAACATGCAGCCTGTTTGCAACAAGGTACTAAAGTAATACTGCAAAAAGATGTGGCAAAGCAATTAACACTTTGTATTCAGGACAAAAATTTATGTTTGGGGGCAAATCCAATACAACACATTAATATTTTCAAGCATAATGGTGGCTGAATCATGTTATGGCTATGCTTGTAATTGTTAAGGACTGGGGAGTTTTTCAGGATAAAAAATAAATGGAATGGAGCTAAGCACAGGCAAAATCCTAGAGGAAAACCTGGTTCAGTCTGCTTTCCACTAGACACTGGCAGATGAATTCACCTTTCAGCAGGACAGTAACCTAAAACACAAGGCCAAATCTACACTGCAGTTGCTTACCTAAAAAGACAGTGAATGTTTCTGAGTGGCCGAGTTACAGTTCTGATTTAAATCTGCTTAAAAATCTATGGCAAGTCCTGAAAATGGATGTCTAGCAATGATCAACAACCAATTTGACAGAATTTTGAAAATAATAATGGGCCAATGTTGCACAATCCAGGTGTGGAAAGCTCTTAGAGACTTACCCAGAAAGACTCACAGCTGTAATCGCTGCCAAAGGTGATTCTAACATGTATTGACTCAGGGGGTTGAATACTTATCTCATCAACATACTGTATATTACTGTTTTTTTAATACAAATGTTAGAATTTTTCTTCCACTTTGACATTTCAGTATTTTGTGTAGATTGTTGACAAAAAAATGACATTCAATTCATTTTAATCCCACTTTGTAACACAACTAAATGTGGAAAAAGTCAAGGGGTGTGAATACTTTCTGAAGGCACTGTATTGTCCTATAAAGCTGTCCTGTCCATGTTGAATGGCCTTTAATTTCTCTTTACAACCTCTTTCCCCAATTCTCATTGTTTACCATTTGCTTTTCTTCCCCTTTTCCTCACCATCTCTATCTGTATACCCCCCCCTCTCTCTCGCTCTCTCTCTGTCCAGTGCAGGGTGATGTATGATAAGAAGCCAGAGCGGGGTCAGGTGTTAGGCCGGTCGCTAGGTTACGGCTTTGTTCAGTTCCAAGATCATGAACACGCTCTGAAGACACTACGACACCTCAACAATAACCCTGACATCTACGGAAACACCAAGGTGTGTCTTTGTTGATCTCTCTCTGTGTGTGTATGCATGTCCTCAACCTTGTCCTCGACAGAATGCAGCTGTGTTTGAGAGGGTGAATGACAGGTTATGTTTCAGGATGTTGTCTTTGGCTCTCAGTAGCTGATGTCAGTAACTGCATTGATTTTATCTCTGAACAATATTACATCTGGTCTCAAACATCCTAGTCATCAATATTTTATGTTGAATTGCACGTACACACGTTTGGTTTGGCAACCTACAGCATCTGATCAATATTGACGGTCTTCTTGCTAAATTATGAGAGAGTTTTATTGAGAAGACTATTCACAGGTTGTCATTGTTTTGTTTTTCTTGAATGATTTACCTTGTGTGTGTACAGAGGCCCATTGTTGAGTTTTCTCTTGAAGATGGGAGGAAGCTGAAGATGAAAGAAATGCGACAACAACAAGTCAAGGTGTGTCTTCTCTTCTGTTTTTGTTGGTGTGTGATGATGGTTAAGATTAAGAGTAACACATTTTCCTGTCTCCATGGTTTCCAGGAGCGTTTTAAGGGGCGTGGCCCTATGGGAAGCTGCATCAGGAGGCGGGACTGGACCTCAGAAGGGTGCGTCTAAATCCCAGAGTGCCATGGTAACGAAGGAGGGGTCAGCGAAGACCCAGACACAGTCAGCACCATCAGGTCAGGGCAGACAGGATGGAGGTATGACGCTCTACATTTCTGCTCAATCCTGAAGATAACACACACACAGCTCATCAATTCTGGTGGAACTGCAAATGTTTGTCATTTTTAACTTTTCCCTCATTTTCTGTATTCTTTTTGCTTTTTGGTTGTCGCTGATATTTCCTCCCATTTCTTTCTCTCTCGTCTAGTACCTCCCCCCCCAGCCACAGGCCAAGGCTCAGACCCAGCAACAGGCCCAGAAGCAGGGCCGGCAGTACGCAGGCTTCCAGACCACCCCAGTTCTAGAACACGTAGAACTGGAGGATGGAAAGAAACGACAGAAGGTTCTAGCCCTGCCCTCCCACCGTGGCCCAAAGATCAGGTAATACATTTTTTACATTTTAGTCATTTAGCAGACGCTCTTATCCAGAGCAACTTACAATTAGTGAGTGCATACATTTTCATACTGGCCCCCCGTGGGAAACGAACCCACAACCCTGGCGTTGCAAGCGCCATGCTCTACCAACTGAGCTACAGGGGACTACACACACACACACTGTACCTATTACATTGTAATCCATACTACATGGTATAACGTTGGTCCTGCAGGGCGCGTGATAAGGGGAAGCCGCAGCACCAGCTTGCTCAGCCTAAGAAGCCCAAGATCCGGCCCAGCAGGAGAGAGCGACAGGGAGGAACGTCACTGGAGAAACCTACACAGCCCAGAACACAGGTACACACACAAACATTACCAATGTCTGCATGTCGTGGCCCCAAGATCATGTAATACATTCAACTGTCTTTTCCAGAGTGCTAAAGGGGCCAAGAGGCGGTTTAGGAGCCGAGAGGATGACCGCTTTGACAATCTGGTTGAACAATACAAGAGGAAACTGATGGGCGGCAACAAGACTGCAACCATCAAGAAGAACAAGTGGTTCAACAGTTAAGTGTGTGTGTACGCATTTGTCAGAGAGATTTCATTTCCTTATGTTGGTTTCAACATCATTCACATTTTAAAACAAAGATAAGATGGTGGAAATGTTGGCATAACATTCACCCATGAACTGTGTAGAGTCCAGCATATTACACTGTCAGTGTATGTCTGTGTCCTCATGTTATACACAACGTGTGGTGTGCCATCACAGTGGTAAAATAAAGCTAAGAGGTGGCGTCCGAACTTCCTGAATTAACTCTTGACAGAGGTTTGAAGCACAGTGTTTAAAAAAACAGAATGTGTGGGTTTGGTTTGTCCGACAAAGGTGTTCAGAACAGATGCTGATGTTTTACTCTGTACTGTGCTTTATGTTCATGTTAACTATTGGTGAATAATAATGTAAAGAACATCAGAGCTTTGAGAAATGTAAATGACTGACATTTTTATTAAAGAACTTACAAAGACGGAGACAGTTTGTTTGGTCTGTCTATTTCATATATGTTAAATGGTCATCTGTGATATAAGTATGGACATATTTTGGAAACAGACCCACACTATGTTCATGTGTAATGTTTGCTATACATGTACATCTTCACCCCATGTACCTCTCCCACCCATTTCTGGACATGTTGATGTACTCTGTGTAAAGGTATTGGTGTGTTCAATAAATGGTAATCTGTGATCAAGGTAATGTTCTACCTCTGACCAGTTTGTAGAGTTTGGGAAATGTTGGATTGTAGAAACACTGTCACACCCACATAATTGTTGATAGCATATTTGGTAATGTTTGCTGACCCTGTTCCTCTCACCCACTCACTGGCCTAGTCAAGGGGAAATTCCAACCCACATGAAGCGCCTGTAAATGGAAGGTGATATCCTTTTCATGCACTTTTCTCTGTATTCTTGAACTTAAAGGGAAACTCCACCTAAACTGTATTTGTTTCATTGTTGACATAGTCCTAAAATGTTTTGCTTGTCAGCAATCAAGTTTTCAAGATGCACTATATATACATAAGTATGTGGACACCCCTTCAAATTAGTGGATTTGGCTATTTCAGCCATACCCGTTGCTGACAGGTGTATAAAATCGAGCACACCGCCATGCAATCTCCATACACAAACATTGGCAACAGAATGGCCTTACTGAAGAGCTCAGTGACTTTCAATGTGGCACTGTCATAGAATGCCACCTTTCCAACAAGTCAGTTTGTAAAATGTCTGCCTTGCTAGAGCTGCCCCAGTCAACTTTAAGTGCTGTTATTGTGAAGTGGAAATGTTTAGGAGCATCAACGGCTCAGCCGCAAAGTGGTAGACCACACAAGCTCACAGAACTGGACCGCCAAGTGCTGTAGCGCGTAAAAATCATCTGTCCTCTGTTGCAACACTGAGTTCCAAACTGCCTCTGGAAGCAAAGTCAGCACAATAACTGTTTGTCAAGAGCTTCATGAAATGGGTTTCCATGGCAGAGCAGCTGCACACAAGCCTAAGATCACCATGCGCAATGCCAAGCGTCGGCTGGAGTGGTGTAAAGCTCGCCGCCATTGGACCTGGAGCAGTGGAAACACATTCTTTGGAGTGATTAATCATTCTTCACCATCTGGCAGTCCGAGGGACAAATCTGGGTTTGGCGGATGCCAGGAGAACGCTACCTGCCTCAAGGCTGTTTTTCATGGTTCGGGCTAGGTCCATTAGTTCCAGTGAATGGAAATCATAACGCTACAGCATACAATGATGTTGTAGACAAATTCTGTGCTTCCGACTTTGTGGCAACAGTTTGGGGAAGGCCCTTTCCTGTTTCAGCATGACAATGCCCCCGTGCACAAAGCGAGCTCCATACAGAATTGGTTTGTCGAGATCGGTGTGGAAGGACTTGACTGGCCTGCACACAGCCCTGACCTCAACCCCATCGAACACCTTTGGAATGAATTGGAACCTGCGAGCCTGGTGTAGTCGCCCAACATCAGTGCCCAACCTGAATGGAAGCAAGTCCTCGCAGCAATTTTCCAACATCTAGTGGAAAGCCTTCCCAGAAGAGTGGAGGCTGTTATAGCAGCAAAGGGGGGACCAACTCCATATTAATGCCCATGATTTTGGAATGAGATGTTCGACGAGCAGGTGTCCACATACTTTTGGTCATGTAGTGTATGTAACTTTCAAAATATAGAAATCTTCCTGTGTGATGCAAAATGCGTCATACAGTGATGATTTCTATATTTTGAAAGTGACGTATCTTGAATACTTGATTTATAACGTCTCATGTCGTTGGCTGGAGTATTCAAGATTCTTGTGACGAGACAGATCAATGTAGCCATTCAAACAACAGTGCACTAACATTCTGTGTTCAGCTAAGCAGCTAGCTAGCCAAGCAGAGAGGTAGCTAATTATTTTGCTTTACATAGCTAGCCTGGCTTGCTGATATTTAGGACAAGTGGAAAAGTGTACCCTGTTTCTGGTGCATTTATTTCATGACACTCATTTGCTACAACAAGTGGCAACTTTGTTTCATCATGGAATTGTAAAGAGGCACCGTTACTGTGGAAACCAGTGGCGGTCAGTGCCGTTTATGATGAGGGAGGACGATTATTTTTCATGAGCATGGCCTTATTTCTATTACAGCATGTTGGATGACTGTCATTCATATTCCATTCACCCAGTTCAATGTAACATCGATAGGTTTTAGCTACTACATGATACTCAAATTTTCCCTATACTCATCATAGGTTTGCTACAACCTAGCCTATGAATGAACGTTTACAAAGTAGGTGCACACAGGTCAATAATTTTTTTTGAGATGACACATGAACAGACCGTGACACATTCAAAACTGCCTTGCACACTCGTCATTTAGCAGACGCTCTTATCCAGAGCGACTTACAGTTAGTGAATGCATACGTTATTTTTTTTTCTCGTACTGGCCCCCCATGGGAAACGAACCCACATCCCTGCCGGCCAAACCGTCCCCTACCTTGGACGACGCTGGACCAATTGTGCGCCGCCCATGGGTCTCCCGGTTGCGGCCGGCTGCGACAGAGCCTGGACTCGAACCAGGATCTCTAGTGGCACAGCTAGCACTGCGATGCAGTGCCTTAGACCACTGCGCCACTCGGGAGCCACGCTTGCCTGCATCTAGCTTATCTAGGGTGTAATCATTAGTCCAACAGTTGCAAACGAGAGTTTCTATTGGACAAATTCAGGTATTTCTATCCCTGTTTAGTTTGCTTCTGTTTAAGAAACGTTTTTCAACAGAATCGGCGGAATGAATACACCCCTGATCATGCTGCATTTGCTAGCTAAGTAAGTGAGAAAAAAAAAATGAAAAAAAATCTCTCTCTTGCTTCTCCTTCCGAAATGAATTTGTTCAAAACTGTTCAACTATTGTCTTCTCACTCTCTTTGAGTCAACTACCCACCACATTTTATACACTGCAGTGCTAGCTCGCTATAGCTTATGCTTTCAGTACTAGATTAATTCTCTGATCCTTTGATTGGGTGGACAACATGTCAGTTCATGATGCAAAAGCTCTGATAGGTTGGAGGACGTCCTCCGGAAGTTGTCATGATTACTGTGTAAGTCTATGGAAGGGGGTGAGAACCAAGACCCTCCTAGGTTTTGTATTGAAGTCAATGTACCAAGAGGAGGACGGAAGCTAGCTGTCATCCGGCTACACCATGGTGCTACCCTACAGAGTGCTGTTGAGGCTACTGTAGACCTTCATTGCAAAACAGTGTGTTTTAATCAATTATTTGGTGACGTGAATATATTAGGTATAGTTGTATCTAAAAAGGATACATTTTTCAATGTTTTACCATTTTTATTTGTTATTAAATTCACTGAGGAGGATGGTCCTCCCCTTCCTCCTCTGAGGAGCCTCCACTGGTGGAAACACTCAACGGCACATCTTGTGTTCTAGATCTGAATGCCCCGTCTTTAGTCAGCTGTTGTACAACAAAACATTATAAAACTGGCTAGTTTTATCTCCTCTTCTCATGTGAACTGTTATATCTTAACTGGACTTCATTACTTGACGTCTAAGCTCTAGAAAATATATTTGAACATAATCAAATATTTTTCAGTCATGACAGGAATGAATCGATATCAACGCCTGGCAAGCCTGTTTTTCCAGCCCCACCATTATCGAGTATTGGATCAGAATGATAGGTACAGTAAGGTACAGTAAGCACAGACTTGATCAAAGTACTCATTGTTTCCCCTAGCTGGCCAAGAATAAAGTTTTAGCTACCAAATAACAAATTAGACCTAGCCCAAAATATACACATGTATTGAGTGTATTAGACTGTAACATGACATTATATTGAATGATTGGACACATTCAATCTGCCTAATAACCTCCTTATCCAAATGGTTTAAAAAATACTAACTCCATCCTAAACTTAGGGCAACAAGATGTACGTATTATTTGTTCTCACGATTGTGAAAAAGATTTGTATGATGTAAAACCAAAACATTACGATTTCTTAGAACTCATTACTATATAATACACTATCGCTGTCATATTGTCAGATGTCAACACTACAGTTTTTCACTGATACTCACCAAATATCTTTCAGCTAAAAAGAGACTCTACAAGTCTCAAAGCTGAAATGTCTACGTATTGAAAACTGCAAAGGACTATACCTATGTCCCAGAACGTCAGAGAGCAGTGTTGAGAAGTCTAGGCTCTCAATTGGGCCAACCAAGGAGAATGATCCTGAGATCAGATGACCGAAGACTCCCCGAAGTGCCACCAACAACAACGGCCGAGCTGCTACAACTTTGAGGAGATGTCGCCATGCATCACAGGATGCAGTTAGCACACCTTTGATCTGGGTGTCACGATCGAGGTAAGGAGTAGACCAAGGCGCAGCGTGATGAACAAACATGACTTTAATTAGTTAAAGCGTCAAAATACAAAACAAAACACGACTCGTGACGTCCACGGTATCAATGACCGAACACGGAACAAAAACCCACCACCACAAAGGGAAAACATACAGTTAAATATGGCTCCCAATC